GAGAACCGAATCAATAAGTGGATCATTTTATTTAGCAACATTTATCGATGACAAATCTCGAAATGTTTGTATTTATTTTCTAAAATCTAAGGATGAGGTTAAAGATGCTTTCAGAAATTTTAAAGCATCTTTTGAAAATAAACTTAACTCTAAAATCAGAATTCTGCGAACCGATAACGGTCTAGAATATTTAGGGAAAGACTTTAATAAATTTCTTAACGACGTGGGAATAAAACGCGAAATGAGCGCTCCTTACACGCCAGCCCAGAATAGCGTCGCCGAAAGATTAAATCGCACTTAAGTTTCAATGGCGTGATGTATGTTTTTGCAATACTCAGAAATTCTGGGCCAAAGCCATCAATACGACTACTTATATTCGAAATCACTGCTCAACGTGAGGTTTAAAAGGTGAAACAAAAACACCCTACAAAGTGAAGTTTGGCAGAGTACCAGCTGTCTCTCACTTCAGAACCTTTGGCCAAAAAGCATTTCCACTAAATAAAAGGGCAGGAATAGGCAAATTTGATATTTGATCTAAAGAATGTATTTTTATTGGCTATTCTGATGAATCAAAAGCATATAGACTTTGGGATCCTGAGGCACGTAAAGTGATAATAAGCAGAGACGTAAAATTTCTTAATGAGTTTGAAAACTGCTGTAGTTATGACTCAGAGCAAGAAATATATCTGCCTTTCCCTCCAGAGGAAAAAACTATAAATAAAGCATGTTGTGATAAATCATCACCTGTGGACGGCAGCGAGTCGCCACTTGAATCTGAATCTGAAAAGTAAAGCGCAAGTGATTTTAGCGAATCAATGCTGCCTATCCTGATTAAAAGGGGACCTGGTCAACCCAAGAAAATAAAAGCAGGTTTGCCAGGAAGGCCTAAAAAGGAATATCACTATGCAGTTGTAAATAAAAATGAACAAACTCAAAACGTTGTTGAGGAAAGCATTAATCCTACGGTGCAAGAAGCATTAAATGGACCATATGCTTAAAATTGGTATAATGCCATGCTGTCAGAATATAACTCGCCTGTTCAAGAAAAGGCTTGGAAATTAGTAAAAAGACCTGAAAACAAGAAAGTTTTTGGTAGTAAATGGGTTCTTAAATTAAAATATAATCACGACGGCACTATCGAAAAATACAGAGCTAGGCTAGTTGCTGGTCAAATTTACCTGTAGGAAGAAGTGCTTGAAAAAGTGGCATGGGTTGGCATATACGTAATTGTGTCATTTGTTCTACTTTGTAAACTGTATATCCTAGGTCTGTTAAAATGTCACTAATTTCTGTGGTGTCCTCGAATTACAACTTTGATTGGCTTTTTTGTGTTGTGCATTGATGAGACTCAGTTGTGTTCAATTGAGTGATTTTGAAGATAAGTGGTCAGTGTTCTGTGGTTGTCAGAAGTGTTTGGAAAAACTTTGAGAAATTCTCTGCTAACTTTACTGTAAAATTTGGTAGAGGATTGAGTGATGAATTGTTTTAAATAAACATTTTGTTTGATGTTGGCTAGAGGTTTTATCATGATAGTTGGTACAGATTTTTCCTTAGGTGGTGGATGTGTTTGTTCTTCAAGATCTTTGTGTTGACTGTTTTGGATATTTTCATTATCAGATTTATTTTTAGCATTATCTGCATTTAAGATATTAAATTTGTTACTTGTAGTTATGGTATTTTTTGCTACATGCTCTTTTTTACCTATTTTTGCTATGTGAGTAGTTTTAATGAATCCGTCATTTGAGTTAAATTATCATCAGAGGATCAGAGTTATCTTGTTGCTTTCTTTTTAAGTGATGCATATTAACGTTATTAGCCGATTTGGAGGGGGGGAGGGGTTAGCACATTGAGAACGTAAGAGATCTTGCTTACCTATGAGGTAATCCTTCTTTATCCTGTTTTCTCTAATGGTCTTTGCAAAAACATCAGTGTAATTATCTGGAGCAGTGACTTGTCTGTTTGCATCAAATTGTCGTTTCATTTCCTTGGCCGATTCAATTTTCGAGTCCATAATCTAAATTTGCATATCTAGTTCAGAAAGTTGGGCCTCAAGGTTGAGTCCGTGATCAGAATCAGAGAGTCCATATTCCATAGCGTTCATAGTATCATCAGTGTAATCATCTATAGGCGCACTCCAATCGTAAAAGCATTTATCTGGAGGAAGAGCATCAGTGATTGACTTAGGATCATGGCTTGCCAAAAGAGCAGCCTAAGAGCTTCCTTCACCCACGGAGGCTGAAGGCAGAATTGTAAAATCTGAAAGCCTTCAGATTTTTATAATTTTTTTTTTTTTTTTTTTTTTTTTTTTTTTTTTTTTTTTTTTTTTTTTTTTTTTGCCAGGTAGAACAGCAATGCTTCTTAATAAAGTTACTAAGCAGTAATCAATTTTCTCTTACGTTTGCGATACAATTCATATGCTTATAATCATTTTTATATTTTGTCTGTGGACTGATGCTTTTTATGTATTACTTTATGTTACGTTTAATTAGCCATTTTAAAGGAAATCATAAAAGTTTAGCATGCTAAAGTCATTGCATCCACCAGCTATCGTGTGGAATTTTTGAATGTTAAGTTTAGCTCATCCTCATTGGCTAATGCAGTTAAATTTAGTTGACTGATTAACACTAGAACGGCTGGAAAAATTTACCTACTGAAACGGCGGTAAGGGGTCATTTTGACCCTTCGATGAAAATACTGAAATAACAATAGTAAAACAATTTTAAATGCCATAAATTGGCACATATGTACTTTATTTCATAATTTATATTTAATATCACATGATAATTTATTGACTTTTTAAAATACTGTAAATGTATCGAGTGCATGGCGATCAATTGGATCATACTACAATTACTAAAATAACTCATTAATTTGATATAAGGATTGATTTCAAATAAATGGTTTTACAAATTAAAACTAATGTTAACTAAAATAAAACACAATTTATATAATAATATTTTTTTTATGTACTTACTTGGAGGATGATTCACTCTCTAAATCCAAGAAATGAGAAATGTTCTCTGATGTTTCAGTTATATCATTATATGTGTAGCTGAATGGAATATGTGTAAATTTCATTTCAATTCCATTTTTTCTGTTTCAATTCTATTTAATGTTTAAAATATTAGAGATTACACATACGTATTAAGAATTAATGCAGTTGATACAAAAATAATTTTTAACAATTTTTCCAGTGCATTTTCCGCACACAACTTTGGAACAAGATGCACAATATTCTTGAGATTTGTTTCCATTGCATCTCTGTACTTGACACTTTTTTCTCTTTATATCCATTTTCCTTTCATGTGTTTTTTCTGAAGACTCAGGAAGGATCTTTGGGAGTTTTGAAGCCATATGTGCCACTCTTAACTCCTCTCCTAATTTCAGTAGAAAATCTCTCCTGTTAATGGTGTTTCCTGTTACACTTTTATTAATTATCCAGGCATTCAAAGCTGCATGATCCAAAATATTGAAAAAGATATGTACAGACCATCGTCTAGAAGCCGATTTAACTGAATATTTTCAGCGAATCTTATCACAGATATCCACACCATGCTTTGTTATGTTGTAAAATGCTATTGAATCGGGCAACTTCTTGAGACTGTCTTCAGTTTTTACAGTAGAAAAACGCTTTTGTTTCTTTTGCCTTGATAAATGGTAAGTGTGAGATTATCGTGTTCCGCTATTGTCCATGAATAAAGATTACTACGCATCTTTTTAAAAGATACAGGAATTTATCTTCTGTTCTTTTTCATTGTGCTGACCATAGTTGTATTTTTTTATTTTAGCACTTCTGCTAATTTAATGCTAGTAAAATAGTTATCCGGGGTAAAATATTCCTCCCTTTGTTTAACTGTGGCTCCGTTAATTTTATAACAACATTTTCAGACAAATGTAATTGAGGATTTGTTGTTTCATCTTTCCCTAGATAAGGAAATCCGTTCAAGAGGTATTCAGTATCAGCAAAGACAGATAACCAAAATTTTATTCCAAATTTGTCAGGCTTATTAGGCATATATTGAGTAAATCTACACCTAGCTTTAGATGGGAATAATTGTTCATCAACTGTAATATTTTGTCGTGGCCGGTAGCACGTTTTGCAGTTTTCAATAAATGGTGGTAGAATTCATATGTACTGAAATACTAATTTGGGATTACTAAGAAAACATTTTTCTCTAACTATTATTTACCTGCAGTAAGTAAGCTGAACTATCAAATGGGAAAATACATCTGTAAAATAAACTATTTCTGAAAAGAAATGTAAGCATGAAAAACTCTGCATCTACCTTCCTTGCAGTACTTTCTTCAAACGAATAGATAATTGTAAACAAAGAAACAACAACTTATATAGACATTACAAAGTAGTGAGACCACCTAGGTTTTTATTCCTCTGGGAGATAGTATGAATGCAATTGAAAAATCCTTATCAATGAATGTTTCTGATGGGTTATTTGACAATGCCTCGAGCAGAAAGAGGGATAAAAGTAAAGGGGTCAAAATGACCCCCGTCCGCCGTTCTAGGAATACATGCCGATATTTCAAAAATTAACAAACCTAGAATGCTGAAAATTTTTTTACAAATATTTGCTGTCTATTTAGGAAACGTCAAAAAATTACAAATGATCTCTTCTAATAAGAGAAAAGTAATCAACGGTCAAAAGTGTTCAGGGGTCAAAATGACCCCTATCGCCGTTCTAGTGTTAAGTAACACTAAACATAGTCACATCTTTTTCGTCCTGTAACTAACTACTGCAAGTTCACTTTGCTGAGAGAAATGATAAACTGGTGATCAAGTTTTCATTGAATAAAAAATTTTAAATTTGTGAATTATTTAAATAAGAATAATTTGCTATCTAATTAGGTTAAAATGTAAGTAAATTTTGTTTTATTTTATGGGCTGTGTTTATTTTACTAAAACCTTAAGTTTCTAGAATAAAGCTTATAAAAATGTTTGTAATTTTTGTCTAATATCAAACTCCCATCCTCTCCTCCTCCTTTAGGTTTCACAGTTAACTTGTCATGAAGGACTTGAAATCATATTACATTCAAAGAAAAATCCAAAGAATGAAGCATTGTCTAATATATTATTACACATTTTTCTTATACGGGAGCTGATGAAGCCTTCTAAATATTGTTGCACAAAGGTTTGTTTTATTAAAACTTTATTTGCAGTGACCATAAAAATACTTATGTAACCATTTTTACCCTCCACAACTGTTATCTAAGGAAGTATTCATGGTATGGCATTCTGAACTTAAGAAAACCAATTTTGTAAAAATTTTGAAATATAATTTTTATTTGTGATCTTTTCATATAATTTAGTAAAAGTTTATTCTCATTCTAAAAGCTAAAACATAAAAAGTTTAACAAAGGTTGAACAAGATATATGATTCTAAAGTTTTGAGGTCATGTTCAGGGCTCTTCTAACTGAAGAGTCAACTGTTTAAAATTTGTACATGGCTAAAATGAAATATGAATTTACAAGAAATTTTCTGTACACATAACACAACAGCAGAGGTTAACATAACACAACTAACTCTGCTGTTGTGTTATGTCGTAGACAATAATTTTTACAAAAGAGAAATCTTAACTCACAGAATCTATAGAATTTGTCCGAATTCATAATATATTTTGCTTGAATCAAATGTGAAAAATGTTTCTAATCCTTTTTTTATATTATTATTAGATAATGATGATTAAGTAATAAAATGCTCATAGATAATAATTATGAATTTTTAACATTCAAAAATTTATAAAGTACTAGTGTGAAAAGACTTGATATATCAACTGCAACAAAATTATAAATTACAAGGTCACTAAATGAAATTAAAGGGAAGAGAAAGAAGCTTGAATTTTTGTATTTTTTAACCAAAGAAATCACATCTCAGATTTTGAAATTATTATGTGTTCTATGGACATCAAATATTTGTTTGAATTTTTATAATTAGTATAAGCAACTTTTACTTAATGTAACTACTTTAAAGGCTTGCAGACTGTATAAAAAATTAGATTTGTAGCTTTCACAGAATTATTTTTTTTTTAATTTAAAAATTCCCAAAACATGAATGTGCCATATATAACATTTTTGTAATTGGATGCTTATGTTTGTCACAAACAGTTTCCAAAAATAAAGTCTGCTGAAGGACTTTTATGGATAGACTATGCTTTGTAGAAATCCCCAAACCCTTTCAGAATTATATGTTATAAATATTTTTATTTGATTGCCTTTTTGATTTATTAATATATTTTAGTTTATAACTGTTCTTAAATGATTATTTAATTTTATTATTTGTCATGTTTCATTTTTGCATGATCAAAATCATGATTGATTTGTACTCTTTTACAGAAACTTTTTACGTTATGGTGTGTGATGCATAAAAATAAGAAAACTGGTTTGAAAGAAATTTCTGAAAATGTAGAAAAAATTTTTCCCATTTATGCTTCAACTAGTGCTCATTTTTATTTGTTTGTTGATACTTTGTGGACTCAGGTAAGCCATTCATTTGTCTTATTCATCTGTTAGTTTAATTTACTGTCCTAATTTTTCATTATGAATCCCTCAGTCTGAAAATGAGGAGCATTCAATGAAAAACAAACTAGAGGTTCTTTAACTTTCTGAAGCCGGCTGGTACAACTGTCGTACCAGCCATTCCCTCCCTATTTTAGAGAATCGCTTATCTGTAGATCCCTGGGTGGTCCATTGTCACTACTCAGAATAGCCGCTAGCTACGCATTATTTCCCTCTTCTTATCAGTTTGGCTACATTTTGGCAAAAACTGCAGGTATCGTCTTGCGCCAATATACTTGAAAATCAAATAGAGGTCATCTCTAATTTTTTTCAGTTCTGACTTTTTCTATGATTAAAACATCAGCGATTTTGCACGCTGTTTAAGCTTACCAGATTTAATGCTTTTTAATCATAGCAAATAAGAATAGATTAATTTTTTAGATTTAATGCCTTTCTAGAAAATAGGCTAAAACCTGTTTTTATCGTTTACTCGTTTCCTTTTTCATACTTATGAATAATAAGATTGATTGATTTTTTTTTTTTTTTTTTTTTTTTTTTTTTTTTTTGAGTGCATAAAACCCTTAAGAACTGTCAACTCTTTCAAAGTGCTTCTATTATGCAGGCAATTTTGTCTGATTTATCAGGAGATAAATAAGAGACAATTGTATGCATAATAGTTTTTCTGATTTTCATTCATTCAGTGATTGCTTTCAATGATTTTCATTGATTGTAAATTAAATAAAATCAATTTATCTTTACACCCTCTTTTAGGATGAGATCTGCCAAAAATATTTAAATATCAGTAAAGCTCACGTTACTTCTAAACTGAATCAAAACATCAGTTAAATGTATAAAATTTTGGCCAGTTTTATTTGCTGAAATTCTTATACTTCTCAAGATGATAAAATGAGGAATTCGAAGCTATCTGCAAGTTAAACCTTTTTAAGAGAGGAATTTGATTGGATTAATTTTGTTCGCTTACTGAATTACATCAAAGCACCCAACGATTACCTGTATAAGGGGAGTTATGTCTTCGCGGAGGACTTTCTAAGAGAAGCTGGCTTGCATTTACGTTACACAAAAACCATGAATCCAACTATTTATCCGGGATTCAAATCCAAGCGAGCTATAAGTGTTCAGCCACCTTTACCGCTTTACTGAAGAGCAGGTAAAAATATTGATAAAGGAAAAAGTATTGAAATAACCGGTTTAATTTACTAACCTATATTTCTCAATCGGACAGTACATAAATTACGCATATGAGGGGAATTATTTGTGAATAAATAAACTGTATTACACTTTTATCCACTATATTTCATATTACGCATGGAATTAATTGATTTTTGATATTTTCAAAGAGAAAATTTCCACACTTTAAATAAAAATATACACGAGAAGATACTTTATTATGCAAAATTTGGCGTAAACGGTTTTCTTAATTTTGCTTTGAAAATATTGCAGGGTAATCGTTTTCATTACTGGAAGAAATATAAAAAACAAATTTACTACATTGTAAGTGTCAACACCCAATATTTCCTTATTCTTTTGAAAACGTGAAAGATTACTCTTTCTAAAATAAATTAGAAAATATATTATGTGCAAATAGAATATTCGTTGAAAATGAAATAGACTTCAACCTTTTGGATATAACGATAGTTTTAGACGAAATTTCTACCTATGGAAAGAAATTGACGTATAATTAATTCTTCATGAACATTTAAAATTCTTTTGATGATTGCATGAAAAGTCACTTTTTTCTCGGCTAACATAAACAAAAGCCAATTTTACAAAGAAAAATTCTCGTTAAAGATATACCTTCTTTGCCTGATAGTCCAATGTAATATTTTTTTAAAATTAAATTATTAAACGCAACCAATGTATCTCGGATTTTGATTTTTATATTATAATAACAAAATTATCCAAAAAAAAGCAGATTTAAATCTCTGTTATTGTTATGTAAAGCTTTATTATTGCTGTAAGTTCATCTCAAAATCTATTTGTATTGAATCTCATTCTAATCATCTAATGGTAATAAATATTATTATTATTTCATTAAATTAGTCATTACCATTATTTTATTAATGAAAATATGTTATTAAAAATCGCATTCCGGCCTGCAGACTTACAGATCTAGTTCTGTATTTACTATATTTTGTTAAATTTTGTTCTCGCTTTCTAATTTCTAATACGAAAATACGCGAATATAAATGAAGAGTGAAAACAAAGTTAAAAAATTCACAAATTATTTACGAGATTGATTAGAAATAAGTGAATGAAATATAAACATTGCATACATTTTGTTCTAAATAAGTGTGCACTGGATATGCATCCAGTACTGCACATTTATTTATGCACTATTTATTTAGAATTTTGCTTTCATTTAAATATGAAAGCAAAATAATCATCGAAAAAATTGCAAATCTAGCAACTCCTCTACTATGGGACGTAGGCGTCCGACAAACATGTAAATTTTACTTCATCCATGGAGGGGAACTAACGACTTTTCTCATTAGGAAAATGTCAAAGAGGGGGCAAAACTGTTTCGGATCGTGCTGGTCTGAAGGCTATATTATGAGAATTTTGGCCCGGTTTTAGAAGGTTAACAACAATGAATAAATATTTTTTAATATCTCTCTCTCTCTCTATATATATATATATATACAGGGGTTGGACAAAAATATGGAAACACCTTTAAAAAAACATGTTTCTTTGCTTAATATGGTGTAGGAAACCCGTTGGCATCCAAAACAGCTTGCAGTCTTCTCGGAATGGATAAATACAGTTCCTGTATGTTTGCCAAAGGAATGTTATACCATTCTTCCTGCAAAACGGTTGCAAGTTCAGATAACGATGTTGGCGGTGGATAACGAGAATGCACTTTCCGTTCCAATGTAGACCACAAAGGTTCGATAATATTCAGGTCTGGTGACTGTGGTGGCCAGGGGAGATGGGACAACTCATCCTCGTGCTCAGAAAACCAGTCCTGGACAATGTGAGCTGTGTGAACAGGGGCTTTGTCGTCTTGGAAGACACCATCACCATCGGGGAACAAAGTTTGTACCATGGGATGAACTTGATCGGCCAAAATGTTCACATAAGTCTTGGCAGTCATGTGCCCTGACACAGTTATCATGGGGCTAGCAGAGAACCACGATATGGCTGCCCAAACCATAACAGAACCACCGCCATGTTTCACTCTTGGCAACAAGCAGTCTGTATTATAGGCTTGAGATGGCGTTCTCCAGACGTAAACTCGGCCAGAAGTGGGAAACAATGTGAAAGAAGACTCGTCAGACCATATTACTCGCTTCCACTGCCCTATAGTCCAGGCTTTATGACTTAAACACCACCTTTTCCTGTCACGGGCATTAGCATCACTGATGAGTGGCTTCTCAATTGCAGCACGGCCAGCAATTCACTGTTTATGAAGCTCCCTTCTAATTGTTTTGGTACTCACATGGTTCGGTAACACAACATTCATTTCAGCAGTAACTTTTGCAGCTGTGATCTTCTTATTTTTCGTCACAATGGCCCTTAATGATCGTCTGTCACAATCTCTCAGGACACACTTTCGTCCGCGCTGTGATTTAGCAGATGATGTTTTTCCGCTTTTCAAATATGCGGAATAAATCTTCAATACAGTACCTTTTGAAACACTAAACACCTCGGCTACCTTGCTTACGGAAGCACCTACCATACGTGCTCCAACAATTTGCTCACGTTCGAAGTCTGTTAACTCTGACATAATGCAATGACAACCTCACATAACAGTACTCCGACAACAACTGAACTGTTTAGCACATTTACAAAGTTGTATAGGTGGCGTCAGTAGTCAAAAATGCCAGCGCCACCTACATATTTCATTAAAATCAATCTTTCTTTTCAAACATGCATTTCACAAGGTGTTTCCATATTTTTGTCCATCCACTGTATATATATAATTACTAGCACTAGCAGAAGTACCTGATGCCAGTTAAGTTAGATTGAATGTAATGTATTATTTGACTCATGACATTGTTTGAAAATTCATATAATAGCATATTACACGTCATAAGGAATATGATGCGTCATTGTAATGCATAAAAGATGCCAAAGGAACAAAGTAATATTCAATACATGTACCACAACTGACTATGTAATCCTAGAATCATATGGTATATATACTCATATCACATAAGGAATTGCCATTTGGGTCAACAAAAGTAAAAACAAATACACAATTTTGAGCAAAAAATACGATTCATAGTCATACATTTTTCAGTCTGATGCGATATGGAACCCACATAAGAATAGAAATAGAATAAATAGAAAAATAAACTAATTCTCTGTCATTAAATCAACACTGTTGCCACTCGGAAAAATGATGTTGAAAATTAACGCTCTAAGCGTTTTAGTTAATATAATCAGAGATTTTAGTTATTTGGGAGGAGGTGGACGTCGACCTTTTCCATGACACAGAAAAGAATTGTAGAAAGTTTGGTGATGATAGCTGTAGTGGTGACTGAGTTACTAGCAAACAAACATGCAGACTTTCTTCTTTATATATATAGATTATTTAGACATTTATCCTAATAAGATAGCAAACTTTCTTGTAAAAGTCCTCAGGTTGTTCTTACAAGTATTTCTGAACTCTTTCCTTTACATTATTTTTCATTTGGAATCATTGTCCTGTCAACCCTTTGTGGCGCACTATACATTAACGTCGGAATTTCAACAAAAAAAGTTGTAAGCGGTCTATTTAGTCCTAAAGGAGTATACAGGTAAAATTTTGTAAAAATTGCACTTACCATTTTAATTCTGTGGGTGTTCCATGAGGTGGAACACTGCTCCGCCAGAGCTTTTAAAAGTGCGACTAAGCGAGCATTGCAGTGAAGCACGAAAATGAGTAGAAGCATTTGTATAAGAATGAAAAAACTCTGTATTATGGTTGTATACATGGTTTCCTGGATATACACAATATTCTTGAATATATACAGATAAATGAGATAAATATCTATATACACAAGTCCTATATACAAAAATATTTACAAATTTTCGGAAAGAGTTAGACCTCTCCACGCCATTTATAGAAAATTAATAATAAAAAAATTAACTACGATTAATATTAACAATAAAGAAAAATAAGCCTATAATATATACATACACGAAAAATATCTACACATTTATTAAAAATAAACGGGAATGAGACTAAAATGCGACAGCAAAAAATTTGCGCAGGTCTAAGTAAAGATGAGTCAAGCTACTAATAAATTCCCGCCTAAAAACTACTCCCAAAAAATTCGAGATGCCAATATTAGGGCTTTCATATCACAAAACACACCTCACCCCTCAATACTGCTTTGTTTGAATTCAACAAAGCAGGAATAATTAATCTGGAATATTAAATTTCTGAGCATCACAAATCCATTTAAGTGAAGTTATTCACTACTTTTTTCATATCCCCTTGGTCAAGAAACCCATCACTTAAGAGGTTGCTCCAGGTCGGGAGAGACCATGTTAAAAAAACTGAGGACGGTTAAGAGGGCCGTAACCTCAGAAATGAGTTATATCTTCTCATTAATGTTTCTTATACTTTGATTTTTGTTGCTGTAATAGGTTATTTTAGTGTATTTTCCGCCTTCTTGTTACAATTTATGCTACTTCATTTTATGCTTACATCCTTTCTTGAGAAACATTCTTAGGATTAAAGTTTTTAGTGTGTATATAAAGCAGTAATGTTTGTTTATTTTTAAACATTACTCTATTTTACACATACAGTTTTGTTGATTTGTCTATGCTAATTATACAATATGAATCTCTCCGAAAGATTTGCAAATGATTTTTTTCTTTTTAATAATAATTTTTTTAGAAATCATTTATCTTATTTACATGAAGTTATGGAAGAAGTGTCATTCTATCATTATTTTAGCAAATTTTCGCTGTGGCACTGAACAACTGAAATTTTTTGTGTGTCTGAAATTAAAATTAGTGATTTTTTATATCTCAATTAATATATACATAATGCAAAATATAACGAAATAAAAAATATGTTTAAAATTCATCCTATATTCAGTTTGGAATAAACCTCATGCAACCCCCCCCCAAAAAAAAACAGAAGCCCAGTGACAGACTGCAAGAAATGAGGCAAAATCTGCCAAGACTAAAAGTGAAATCTGAAATTTACATCGTTCACTACATTGTCATCAAAGGTTCTGTGCAACAAAAGAACTAAATGTTGTTGTTGCTAGTCAGCCTAAGCCCACAAAATTCCTTGTGACAAGGAGCGTAAGTTTACGCCTATCGTTAGCAACAGCCTTGAGACCTTACAAGTGACAGTGCAATTTAGCTCAGTTCCGCCACCAATTTTGATGGAGAGCACCTCGGGGAAAGGGAGCCGAGGATCTCCCACTCCCTTTCCCCTATCAACCTGTCCAGAGGACTTTCAGTTCGCCACACATATAGAGTGCCCCCATGCCACATGGACACTATACATTTACAAACATCCATGCCTTCTCTGGGATTCGAACCCGGTTCCTTAGACATGGCAGTCAGCAATGCTAACCATTATATCAGTTGGGCGACAGTAAGTAAATAAAATAGCCTACTTCTGACCAACAAAGACACAAATTAAAGTTTAAAAATAATTTTAACAAACAATTAAAATAATCTGTGTCTTTCAGGAATCTACTGCAATAAACATTTTAAGATTAATTTTTAAATTTTAAACATTGATTAGTGTCTTTTTGGCAGAAGCAGGCTGTTTTATTTATTGACTTTTTCTGTTGCACTATCCCCCTAATGATGCAGTGAAGGATGTTAAATTTTGCATTTCATTTTTGGTTTTGGCACATTTTGCCACTCCTGTTTCTTTCTGTTTGCTCTTTGTCTCTGTTTTTTGGTTTTTGCAAGTGGTTTCCTCCAAACTGATAATAGAATGAATTTTAAATATAATATTTATTTTGTTTCACATTATTATCACTATTTGTTGCTGCTATCAGCATGCAATTGTGTTAGGTTTTAAAGTGTTTTTTACTTTGTATTTATTCATATATTTATGTTATTTATTTATTTACAGTTTGGACCTGAACTTACATCATTATATGTTGAGTTGTATCTTAGAGGACTTACTGTTGATATTAACCATCTTGAAGCTGCCAAGTGTTCTTATATAACTGCTGATATTGAGCATCTTGAACATCATATTGCTTGGCAGTTTGATAAACTCTCTAATTTATTTACTGATGTTGCTGCACGTGAATGCATCTTTAGTGCCTTTTCTTTGAGACCAACTGATGACAGGCGTGTTGCTTTGCAAAGTTTGACTCTAAGTCTATTAAAACAAGAAACCAAAAAGAAAAATTCGAGTTTCTTTAATCAGTATTTACCTGATAATGATTGTAGCTGCAGTGTAAGATGTAATGGAGTTTGTAAGAATTCAATGAATTCACTAGATTTTTTTCATCCGTTATTAAGTAAAGGGATAAAAAATGTCCCCTTTGTATTGGTATCAGACTTAGTCTGTGTTTTAGAATCTGTACGCTGTATAAATCTTCAGTACAATGTATTTGATTGGAAAAATATTGTTGATCTTGGTGATTATGTAAAATCTTGTAGTATTGGTGAAAATATGCTTAAAAATCGGAGTTCTGATACTGGAGCTGCTAGTGATGCTAGTAACAAAAGTGGTCCTGAAGATGATGCATCAGCATCTGAAGGAAATGGTCTAAACTTAATGTCTAGAGTAAATTCAGATGCCTTCTGTTCACCTATGAAAAGGAAAACTAACTCAGAAGAGCCTGGAGAAATTTTTTCATTAGATATAGGAGCAAATATTGAAGTAGAGAGTGATGATAGTGGAAACAAGAAAATTAAAATGGAACATAGCTTTAGCCAATATGATGGGAAAACAGTACAATCTGGGGATGGATTACATATGCAAGATGCTATTGAAAATGTAATTAGAATGTCACTCACTGACAGAGTTCTTAAACCATTTTCAGGTAGCCCTCCATGTCAGGAAAAAGTGTTAGATCAATCGGTTGACGGAGTCGATCATTTTTTAAATTCACAGTGTTCAAACAGTCACACCATATATCCATATTCTTTGACTCCTGTAGGAAAGCAAGAAAATCTTATATCCAATCCAAAAATGCAGATGGTAAATAGTAGAAATTCAATTCAGTCAAGTGTTGAGAGTAAGAGTAATTATATTGAGCGTTATGATAAAAATTTAAATTGTGTAATTCCTACTAACTTTACAAAAAGGAATAATTTTAGAGAAAGTGTTGTTATTTCTCCTAATATATGCTCTGAGGAATCAAATTCTCAGAGGCAGGAAACTACATCTGTGACCCAGTATTCATTTCACGGTTCTGTTGTTAAAACAGGCAGCTCTCCTATATGTCAGCCTGCAAAAGGAATGGATTCAAGACCTTCAGTATCACCTCATGCAAAAGAAATTGCTTATGAACATGGTGCTCTGAATTTGAGTTCTAACAATAATTATGTAAAGTCAAATAATGTTGAAAAATATCCTAATCCTGATATATTATCGTCTTATCAGCCACAGCTAAATTCTAGGATGGTAGACACTAAACAAGTTAATTCTATGGTCTCTGAATCATTTAATGTCTCAAATTCTAGATACTTTGAAACCTCATCACATAATGTTGCATCTTCTAAAAAAACTATTAATCAAGTGAAAGCATATTTTATTCAGCAGCCTATAAATTATTCTAGTAATCTTCAGGATAGTTTATCCACATCTACTTACACTACGCCACATGCAGCATTTCAGGAATCTATTGCAAATTCAACACAGACATCTATAAGACAAACTGTCAGTATGTGTGTTTCATCAACAAATGAGATACAGCAGACTGACAGAAATTCTGTAATTCAGCATACTGTGCAACAAGCAGTAGAGAAAACTGTCCAGATTCCCAATCACTTATCAGTGTCTGTTAATTCCAGTGCTGTTCAGCATATAAGGAATATATCATATAAAGATGGATCAAGCTTACCACCACTGCGAGTAAATGTCACTGATAAAAAAATCTCAAAAAGTAATCTTGCCGTTCCTGCAAGCTTAGTTATTGCTAGGAAACCATATACTTATCCATTATCTAGTAGTAGCCAACCAACCACAAATACTACAAGTTCTAGTCTGCAGAGCAAAGATACAATAACAATACCAGGTATACTTGCTTCTCCTTCAGTAATAATGACTTCAGGGTGGGAAACAAACCATCAGAAACACAGTAATATGCCATATAAGAAAAATAAAGTTTCTGCTGCATCCATTGTTAAAAAAGTGTATCGTAAACCTTATGAGAGGCAGTCACTTCCAAGTGAAAAATGTGAAGGAATCGATAGGAGTACATGTAAAATTGTGCCTTTTATTCAGCCAACTACAAGCCATATACAACCAATAACTTCGAAGCAAAAGAACTTTATTGTTACCAACCGAGGCTGGCCTGTATCTGAAAATAAAATAAAATCAACTGCTGTAGAATGTGATAGAGAAAGTTCTAGTCAGCCATGGTACTCTGTTCCCTATCCTAAATCACCTAATCCTGAGATTACTAATGCTTCTAGTTTTGATACTCATATCAACAAGAATCGAAATTCTCCATCATCATTTACATCAGCTCAACAAAGTGAAAAAGCTTCCAAAAGTATTATAAAAGATAATCCTTTGTTAAATGCACATCTGTATGTAAAGGATAATCATCTCGAAGACAGAAATTCTCCTGTTGCTGTGAATCATAATCAGTTAATTATAAATAAATTTACTTCTGTATCCCATCCAAATGCAGTATCTCCAGACAGTTCAAACCAGGCATTTAAGCAAATAAAAAATGTTTATGCCATTCCAAAAAAACAGTTTTTTAAAGAAAAGAAATCAGAAATGTCTGACTTTTCAAGTGTTAATTTACAGTCTTCTGTTACAAATAGTTCAAACCTCTATTCAGCTCCACAGTGTGGCAAAACTATGATTAATTCGAGTCATGGTAGCCCAGTTTCATTTTCTTCAGCTTCAGGTCAAGAGGCAAAATTGTCTGTTGCTTACTCAAAATCAGATGCATTTGGTATAACATCACAGTATTCTCAATCTAAAAATACTTCTAACAACATTTTTACAAAAGTGTGTTGTTCTCCAAAAGAGACAAATCCATGTCAGAGTTGTTCTGTAACTAGTAAAGCAAATGTACCATATACTGAATCAACTCATTTGCAAAAGAATGAATCTGCACAAAGGACTAGTACTTCAGTAAGTATTACTTTATAATTTCTTATAGCATTTAGTTATACCTGCATATGTGTATTAGTCATCCAGATTCATATTGAACTTGCAGAAGAATTTTAGCTATTTTATATCTTTGAGTTTTTAATTAAAATACCTAACTATGCCCATATTAAACTACTTGAAAACAGCAAGTGAGGTAGCAGAATGAAATAAAGTACTTTTGCTTAAAAAAAAATTCTACATGTAAAATATGTAATTTTGTTTTATGCAGTTAATTATGTATAATCTGAAATTTTTATCTAAAAATTTATATATGTAGGAAAAATTATATGGAAAATATCACAGTATTATTTTAGTAAATTATGTATAGAGAAATGTAAAAAAAGTCGTCACAGTTTGGCTTCAGAAAATGTAATTTGGTTATGTTATGGGGAATTTATACTTGTTCATTGATGAAACTGATTTTTTAATTTTCACTATTAAACATTTCTGTTCAGTGATTGAAATCATTAATGGAAGGATAGGTAAGGTAATTTTATATTTCCAATATTAGTCAGAAGGATCTATTGACTAGATTTCTAAGTATCTAAAATATTAGTTATTAATATCTAAAATCAAATTTTTTTGTGGATAGTTCTGCGGTCACTGTTCCAAAATATATTCCATAGGTTACAATACTTCATACACATACACACTCCAGATAAATCATTCAAATTCTAAAAATATGAATCTCATTAAATGAACATAATGCTGAACTAGAAATTGAGAGTATAGAAACGGAATCACAGAAGTTCCATAGCTTAGCAATGCACTGACTTACCAACAAGTTTTAAAAAATTATTGATATAAAATCAATCACTGTTATGTATATTTTTCTTTAACATATAAGTTAATGTAGGTGAACTTTTTGACAAAATTAATTTAAGGATTAGATCACAGAAAGTTAATGTTGATGCAACCAGAAAACTTATCTGAGTAACAAATTACGTAATGAAGTAAATTTCTAATGAATTGTTTATTTTTGAGTAATTGAATAAGATGTTAAATATTCAGTTAAATAATGTAGACAAACATGAAAAGCAGTGTATTTGGGTTTCTCTCTAAGAATTTGAACTTCATATTAGATAAACAAGAAGGCTCGTGTGGTTTTTGAAAACAATTACTTTTGGTGCATTAGTGTGGTATAATTGATTCTGATGATGCCATATGTTTACTATCGTTTCAAATCTTATTCAGTCATTCTGTGCATCGTACACTTTGTTATCAGTTTTGTAGGAAGCACAATCTTCTAAAGAATATGTCACTAGAAAAGGGAATTTTCAGGTATATTTTGCTTTACAAATTAGGAACTAAGCTGCAGAGGCCATTAGAAGAATATGCATTGCATTTGGAGAGATGTCTTTGAGTGAATGGACAGCTCAGAAGTGATTCAATGAATTTTTTTTCAAAGACAAGAGAGTGAAGACAAAGCCTTGTGTTGCTCATCCATCCACCCTCGACGAAGTCCAGCTGGAGGAGGATGTCAAGTAGAATCCTCATCAGACCTGCCAGAAGCTTGCACAAAAGTTTAGAGTATCTGACGAAACCTTTCTGTCACATTTTCATAACCTTGGGACGATAAAAAAACTAAGCATGTGGGTTCCTCATGTCCTGTCCGAATAAAAACAAGCTCTAACAGTTGAACATTTGCTGGTTGTTGTCGTGCTATAACAGAGCCTCATTTCTGGACCAAATCTTGATAAGTGACAAAAAATGGATCATGTATGATAACCAAAACAGGAAACATTGTTGGTCAACTTCAGGTTCGGTCTCATTGGCCACTAAACCGGACATTCACCAAAAGAAGGTAGTGTTGTATGTTTGGTGGACCAGCACTAGTATAGCCCAGAAAGCGGATATATGGATATCTAGAAAGCAGAGAAACCATAACAGCCGAAGTTTACTCATCATGGTTGTAAAGAGTTTCCAGCTGGTCTGCACCAGAAGCAGCCAGCACTGGTCAGCAAAAGAGTTCTCCTGCATGATAATGGAAGACCTTGTATGGCAAAAGTGATCAAAGAGGGGATCAAAACACTGGTCTGGGAAGTTCTGCCTCAGTCATCCTATTCCCTGGATATTGTCTGTTTTTGGCCATGGGTAATATCAGGAATAGCAGTTCTGAAAACGTGACGTCACAAAAGCTATCACAATTTTTGGGACTCCAGAAAAAGGATTTTTTTCAAAAAGGGCATTTATAAGCTTATGTTTTGTGTATAATGTGTAATTGATGCCAATTCTGATTATTTCGAAGAATAAAATGAGCGTTTAATGTTTTTGTGGGCAATTTTTGGTGAGTGACGAAAACCGCACAAACTTTCTTGGTTACCTGGTATTAGGGTGATATGTAATTTATATTATTGAGGACAGTTTATTGGCACTTACTTATTATATCATTAGAGTCCTTGATGCTTTATTTCACTTTGGTGTAGATTCTCTGAGATGTTGGTAAATGACTTAATTCTGGTTAAGGCAGACCAAAACCGTATTCAGTGAATTGCATTTTCAAATTCTCTTCAGTGGTTTTTGATTTAGCTGCGTATTTTTCTATTATTTTCCTATTACGTCATATTCTAAATAGTTATGAGATATGATTATTGTAGAGGCTAGCTATCTAGTGCAAGGCAAAGTTATTATCATATTGTGTGTAGATAATGTGAATTAAGTATCATGTAATGTTCACTTGCTAGAGTATTTTCTAGCAGGAATGAGGTAAATCATTAGCATAACTGGATATACTTAATCAGCAATCTAAATACCTTTGAGATTTCTGGTACAGGTTCACTTGAATTAAAAGTCCCAAGGAATAGCAAGGAAATAAAAATTCCAAATAAACATGTTGTCTTCACCATCGTGAAATATTATGACAGTGCACTAAAGATTCAAGTTTTCAAGCTAATTTTTCTATATTTTCCCAGTCTTGTGATTGTCATAATTGAAAGTGTGATTCACCAGGCCACATGTCTCTTATTCATTCATTTGCTGTTAAGTTTTTGTGATCTTATGTGAATTAGAAATATTTGATCCTTCTAGCAATGTCTTCGTCTTCCAACATACTATATGACCCATGTGACATACAGTATATTTGAAAGCTGTTTAACTATCTCCATGATTAAGATTAGGAATACTGATATGCTGTACTCTTCAGAAGAGCATAAATTCATCGTGAAATAAGTTTTCTTTTCTTATTGGTGGTTCCATTGGTTATTCATATACACTGTGTCCACAAACGTCCTTACCTGATCCGCAGCCATTAGTTGTAGGCATCTACTTCAAATTACAAAATCTTTTAAATGATGCAATTAATTTTATAAGAATATGAAATCTAACATTTTTCATGGTGTTTTGATCCATATTCTAACAGTTTGTAATTTTTTTTTACTTATTATAAAAACTAAAACACCATTTTTATTGGTGGATTGATTAAATAAGTAGATTAATTTAAAGTTGACTTTTTTCCCTTAAATACCATTTAGTGTTATTGTTTTTGTGGTTTACAAATATCTTTAGTTTTGTTACATTTGGTATGCTGAAAGAATTTTCACAGAAGTAATTTATCTGTTTTCAGAATCTGAAAATGTAGTTTGAATATTCTTATGCAGTTTTATTATTTTGGAATCATAATTTGGTTTTCATACAAAATTCATTAAATTGTATTTTTTTTAAAAAAATTAATACAAATAATATTATGGTTTGACTCTATCTCAATACCGAAGCCTGCTAATGTTTTCTAGAATGCAAATTTTATAAGGTCTATAAGACTTCCATTTCAAAAATTTTTTATTAATCTGTTATTTTCACAATATCTGCATAAAATTGCTCATTTCTTAATCTCTTGACATTGGAAACCTTTTTCTAAACTGATACTTTTAGTTACATACAAATGCAAACTTTTTTATCTTCAGTTTGTGTACAGCCCCTAAATATGATCTGCAACTTAAGTACTGAATATTTCAGTCAATTTTTTTTTTCGTACAGGCGTCGAAAGTGTTTAGACGTTTGGTATTAATGTTGCCTTGCCACAATAATCCATGCCAAGATGCTGATGCTTATATATTGAATCAGCAATGCACTAATTTGCATATGTGCTGCAGCCACACCTTCAAACAGAAACTTTTTGATTGCCCGTTATATTGTAATTTTCACATATTCTGTTTTGCTCACATCGAATGTATAACCAAATAACCTAGAATAGGATTTAGTAGTAGACTTTTAAATAAACAAGTAGTTGAATTTTTTTCAATAGGCCAACTAGAATGGAAGCTACAGAACTGTCTACTCCTTCTTTTTTAAAAAAAAAAAAAAAAAAAAAAAAATTATTATTATTTTATAGAAATCAGCAAAGTGGTTAATGCTTCTAGTGCTGTATCATTGGTCTCAGTTCAAATCCTGAAGAAATCATGGATCTTTATAAGTGTATGGTGTCTGTGACATGAGGGCATTCAGAATACTCAGCAAACTGAAAAAAATCAGATCCATCAAAATTGGGATAGAGCTTAACAACTAGTGTGATGGGAATATTTTCATTTGAATAGTGGTGAATTTCTGGTATCCCTTAAACTAGTACCTATATGGAAGTGCATATCTTTGTCATATCTGTGGTAATCTGTGTGCAGTACATAGTGTAGCTTGCTTTGCTGTTTCTGTCTTATGCCACCATCTATTTTGGAGGTTGATGTAGATTGCTACTACTGTTTTGTGGTGCGATCTCTTACTAAGTTTGATAATAGCTGTAATACTTCTGCCTAAGAATCCTCAGTAAGTAAACTTAAGAGTTAAACCAAGGTCTTAACGTAGGTAAAGGTTGAATCACATGACAATAACACCTGCCATAATGGTGACTCAGAAGTGGTTTTCTGCCCTTATACTGCTCTCCTCGCAAATAACCAACTGTGTCATGCCATCATTAGCCTAGCACCCACGCAGTCGCACTCAACCAACTACATCATAGTTGCATTGACATAATGCTCACAAGCTAATAATGAAGT